TAAACTTGCAGGACTGCTCTAAGGAAATAGGAGCAGCTTTCTTGGCTTGTCACAAGGGCTACCCAGCCATTGGTATTCATAGCCCCCCTTCTGCAGTTAGGCACAGCGATTCCTCTGCTCCTGATAACAGAGGATAGGATTGTAGGGCTGTCCGAAGTGCCTCATCAGCAGCCTCTCTGTTACAAGGTTATTTCATAAAATATTTATACCTCATCTTTCCTCTTGGCTCGGATTAGGCCTGTACGAGCCCATAAATTTACTTCATTTAAAGAAAGACATAGCAGGAAGATGCTGGAGTACAACGGTGGCTTTTTAAAAAACAGATTTAGAAGTTATTGTAATGGTGGTACCCTGTTTACCTCAGAAGGAATAAGTGGTCTGGCCACGTTCTTTAGAAATGAGGAGCCAAGAGCATATTCTTTCTAAAATTACTAAAGTCAGCATGCTAAAATAATTTTATTGCTTCGCGCTTCCATAAAGCCATGTTTTGTGAGTCCTTGAACTAAAGCTGTTGCTAAATTGCACTTGAAGGTAAGGTATCAGCCAAACGGTTGACGTAGCTCACCCTTTAGGACTCTGGGCTTTCCATTGTCATGGAAAACGTACACTTTGTAAACATTACAAACACAAAATGAGATATGTTCATCGCTGTGTAATAAGACACTTTGTTTACGGAGCATGCCATGGGACCACGGTAACACAAGCAGAAATAGGGATTTGAGCACTTCAGTTGTAAAGACAATGATGATTGCCTAGCAGTTATGGCTGCGGGAATTTTTCACTACTCTGAAATGCATTATCGTTTAATCTTTCCCTCGGTAGCTTTGAACTCTGGTAAAAGCTTTTAATAAAGGAAGATTGTCTAGAAATTGGAATACACTATAGGTTGAAAAAAAATGTCCTGCTGTATCCCTGTGCCTGGGTGGTTTGAAAATATTTCCAACAGTGGCAAAATAAGTCACGATGTACCAGAATATAAATATACTGTGAGAAATGACGCCACCGGACATTAAAAAACTAACTGGGCTAGATGGTACCTAGGAGAGCTAGCGCTCTGTAGCCTGTGGTGTTGGTTGATTTTGTTTTGGGTTGATTTTTTTTTAGCAATGCCTACTTGACTTGAACTTTTAATACACTAAGCACTGGTTCCCAAAGGGGGCAATAACCGCCCTCTCGGGGGTGCTGGAATGATCCAGGGGCAGATCTACAAACTGCATCTTTTTGTCCACTTCTTGAAGGTAGATGTCCAGTGGGGGGCTGAGTAATTTTTTTTCTGAAAAGGGGGCGGTAGGCCAAATACGTTTGGGAACCTCTGCAAAGGCTGCCATCCTCTTACCAGTGCTCGGGTGTTATTGCAGTCCCTACAGTCAGCTCTGCCTTTTGAGAACTTGCTCTGCTCTTTCTAGCAGGATGTGTAGTGGATAATTCTGCAGTTGGGGCTTATGTAAGCTTTGGACCACAAGCCATTTAAGCCATAGCTCTTGAGCATAAGCTGGTTTAGTCTTCTGGCCAAATCCTCCAAACCTTTGTTGGAAAACTGTGATTAAAGTGCCATCAGGTCGCAGCTGACTTAAGGTGATCCCGTAAGGTTTTCAAGGCAAGAGACAAGCAGAAGTGGTTTTGCCATTGTCTACCTCTGCATAGCAGCCCTGAACTTCTTTGGTGGTCTCCCATCCAAGTACTAACTAGAACTGACCCTGCTTAGCTTCCGCGATCTGGGCTGTCCAGGTCTGGGCTCCTTGGAAAATTACTCAGAGGTTAAAAGTACTGTACACCCCAAAGTGCTGTTGCAAATGAAAAGTTCACGGACTGCTGTTTTTTTAAGGTGTTTGTTCATACGGTGTGATGGGCAAGCGGCCGATCTGACACACAGTCGATCTGTGGTGTGATTACATTAGTGGTGTCTGCATTATGATCTATCTCAAGGTTGTCCAACCCACAAATGTCCTTCTCTTGAATGGCTGCATCATCTCATGATATTAAATTTCTTTGTTATTCTGTCATTTTAGTGCATTGGTTCACTTTCATGATGAGTACGTAGTTCAGTTGTATTGTATATTTGAGGAAGAAAATACACCAAATAATGGGAAATTGCAGGGGGAAGCACATTTCTTTTAAAACATACTTTTCAAACTCGCATGTAAGGTAAAGAAGTAAGGGGAGGAAAAGCATTTTGATGCAAATACATCTTCATGGCTAGTGTGCAAGCTTTTTATTTTTAGTCATTCTAAAAAGGCAAAAGAGGGTTTTCAAGTTTTTTTCTGCCTACAGCGTAAACATGATTATATAAAATAAAATACCTGTGCCACAATCATATAGGCTCATTGTATGCAGGTATTGGTAGGCTGACTCTGTAAAGTATTGCAGTATATGGGGTTGGCCCAGAGAGGCCTTGTAAAATGTTGATATTTGCTTGTGATAGAAGCCTCCCCATCTGTTTTCAGAACAAAAACTTTTCTAGGCTTTTACCTGAAATCATGAAGACTAAAGACTTGTCTTTTCTGTTTTTTTGTTTTTTTTAAGGAAAGCAAGGGCCATCACATTCCAGTCTTTAGGTGCTGACATTGTGTGAGAATAGGAGACACCTGTTCAGGGGTTCAAAAGAACATAAGAGAAGCCATAACAACATAAGAGAAGCCATCCAGTCCACCAGCAGGGTCAGAACTCCAGAAGCCCTTCTGTTGTTACCCCCCAAGGACCAAGAATGCAGAGCATCACTGCCCCAGACTGGGTGTGGTCAGACGGCGTGCTGGGAGCAGTTTGAATTACTCCGGTCCCGTTGCATTTTTTTTTAACCTAGAGAATCACGATCACACTCATCTTCTTGTTCTGGATCACTACGCAGCCATGTCGCTCCCCACTGTCCACACGCGGGAGCGTGCGTCGGTGTTTTTTTCTCTCTCTCAGTTTGGGCATGCGCACAGGCAGCCATCTGTAGAATTAAAATTTTTGCACATGCACAAAACAACAATTTCCACTTCAACCCAACTGCTGTAACACTTCCCTTTAAACTTTAAAGGAACACTTCCCTTTAAACTTTTACCCTGAAACTGGCATGGCAAGCGCGTGTACACAGTGCTCAACGGAACTAATGCCATTGTGGCAATGCCAGCTCAACAAATCCAGGGGGGTGGGGAGTGCAAGCCTACCACAGCCAGTGCATGTACACTATGCCCAGAAGAGCCAATATCACTCTGGCAGTGCCAGCTCAATAAATCCAAGAGAGGGTGTTGCATGCCTAGCATGGCAAGCGCGTGTACACAGTGCTCAACGGAACTAATGCCATTGTGGCAATGCCAGCTCAACAAATCCAAGTTTGGGGGTGGGGGTTTGCAAGCCCAACATAGTCATTGCATGTACGGAGTGCCGAACAGTGCCAGTGCAGTGTACTAGTGCCCAGCAAATCCCAGTGCCTTCCCTTAAAGGCTTTCTTCCCCCCTCCTCTATTGAAAACAACAAGAGGATGGAGGCACCTTTTGGGGGCACTTTGTACATGCACTGGTTCTGCAAGATTTGGATAAATCCCCCCACCTTCAGTTTCTGCTGTGGAGACTCTCTGGTTTGACATCAGTCCTTGTTATTTTGCTGTTTTTCCCCACCATTGGAAACATTGGAGGATGGGGGCACCTTCTTTGGGGGTCCCAAATAATTGGACCCCCTAGTCCAGTCTTTTAGAAACTTGGGATCTTTTGATGAGATGCGCCAGAAGTTATGCTGAAATTTTGGTGTCTCTACCTCAAAAAACAGCCCCCCCCCCCCGACCCCTGGATAGATTCCCCATTGTTTATAATGGTCTCATAGGGTATAATGGAGCCAGGGGGACTTGTAATTTCCCGAAAAATACGAATACCATACCGGTATTGGAATTCGGGGTTTTCCAGGAATTCTGAATGGGGGGCAGGTCCAATATAGCTGAATCCGAAAAAATTGTGCACACCCCTAGTTTGTACCTAGGGACTTCCATTAATTGATGTGTTCTAGAGCCAGGGAAAATGCAGGGTTGGGAGGGTATTGGCAGGCAAGGTGAAAGGTGTTCTTGTTAATTAACAAAGTTTTCAAAACGAAACTGAACATGATATAATATTCTGCCTAAACGTTTCAGTTTGTGTGTGTTTCAGTAAAGCCAGTTTGGTGTAGTGGTTAAGTGCGCGGACTCTAATCTGGGAGAACCAGGTTTGCTTCCCCACTCCTCCACTTGCACCTGGCTGGATGGCCTTGGGCAAGCCGTAGCTCTGATAAGAGCTGTCCTTGAAAAAGAGCAGTTTCTGTCAGAGTTCTCTCAGTCCCACCTACCTCACAGGGTGTCTGTTGTGGGGAGGGGAAGGGAAAAGGAGTTTGTAAGCCGCTCTGAGACTCCTTTGGGTAGTGAAGGGTGGGGTATAAGTCCAATCTCTTCTTCTCTTCTTCTTCTTCTAAAATGAGTGTTGTAGGGCAGCTAAAGGTATATCTGTCTTCATCCCATCATGTTCTCCCTGTACCTGTATGAGTTTTTTTCACTTGAGTTGTTTTTAAAGCATATGAATTTATGAAACTGCCTTTTTCCCAGGGCAGGATGAGCTCAGTGTCGTCTGTGCAGACCAAGTTGCAGTGTTGCAGGATTTAAGAAGAGGGTTTTTACCCTTGAGGTCTCTTTTATTCAGAAGTACGGGGAATTGAACCTGAGGTTTTTATAGGCAAAGCATGAGCTCTGCCATTGAGCTGTGGGGGTCTCCCCCATTCTGATAAAACAGCAGCAGTTTAGATTTTATTTTCATTTTTGCATGTTTGACTAAGCAGCAGGTGATTTCCTCCTTCTAAGCATGTGCAACTTAGTTACACTGTCGTAGATTTATTATAACAAGAGCAGTCTGAATTTGCAATTGAAACACTGTTCGTTCACCCCTGCTCCACCCCAGATATTCTGGTTGGGTGTGCATATGGTATTCAGTGGCTAGCTAGAAGATTTATTGAAGATTTTGTGTCTTGATAAAAGTTTTATGACCTTTGTTTTTCCCTTCAAGAGCTATCGGTTCACCATCCAGAGATTTAATTTGCTATGTTTTCTTGGTTACAGGGAGAAAAAAATGAAAATTCAGGATATTAAAAACAATATTAAAGAAGCTATAGAGGTAAGTCTACAAGGTGGTGGTGGGGGTTGTATGTTTATTTTGCTGGTTGCTTTGAATTGGTCTTTTAACCCATCACTAACTGGTAACTTTTAAAATCCTTTTTATGCAGACAATAGTGACAGCAATGGGAAACCTGGCCCCACCAGTCGAGCTAGCCAATCCAGAGAACCAGTTTCGAATCGACTATATATTAAACCTAGCAAACCAGATAGATTTTGACTTCCCACCAGTAAGTATAAATTGTTATTGACCATAGGTTGACTTTGGATTAGTACTTAGGTGGTGGTGGTTGTTTTCATTGAGAGGATACAATTTAGCGACTGGTCCAGTTAAAGAATGTTCTGTTACTGTTCTGACCGGCATGACTTCTTTGGTAGTCAAGCATAGATCTACGGCTAGGTCATGTATTACCTTCCCTTGCAGAAATCTTCATTCCACAGTTGTTGGATATTTGTCCAGGTGTTCCGGAAGCTCTGCTGTCCAGGAAGGTGTGTTTAAGCCTGGCCTACAAGTTAAAAGTAAAAGCAGTACAGTAGTTGAAGTACAGGGGTGCATTTAAAGTGGATGGGGCAATGTCATTACCATATAATGCCGTCCTTGCAAACTCCAGGATACTTTAACATGGAACACCCCCCATGTACACACTAGAAGAAGAAGAGTAGGTTTTTGTACCCCATGTTTCTCTACCTTAAGGAGTCTCAAAGCAGCTCTTTCCCTTCCTCTCCCCACAATAGGCACCTTGTGAGGTAGGTGGAGCTGAGAGAGTTCTGAGAGAACTATGACTGGCCCAAGGTCACCCAGCAGGCTTCATGTGGAGGACGAGTGGGGAATCAAATCCGATTTTCCAGATTAGAGTCCACTGCTATACCATGCTGGCTCTCACCAGCCATTGCCTCTCACCCTTAACTTTGAAGCAACTGTTAGTGTCACAAAATGACATCACAGCCCATAATAAAGGATGCGACCATTTGCTACTATTATTATCATCCATAATTTTATAGCACTGCTGGTCTGCAGAGCCCTTTGCAGCCAGCCCCCTGTCTCATTTACACTCTCAGCACAGAGAAGCGGGTAATTAAGTCTCAGGTTGCAGGCCGACAGTGCAGACCTAAGCAGAGCTACGCCCTCCTGAGTCTATTGAAGTTGGCGGGTTTAGAAGGGTATAGCTCCGTTTTAGGATGACGCAGTGAGAGGTAGGGAGCCCATGCAGTTGGATTCAGGACTGAATGCTTTTTCTTGTTTACTTACCTGGGAGCTGTTGTCAGTGGCTAACATAGGGAACTGTGATCCAGAAAGTTGTTGGTTCAGACTCCATGTCTGTCACTAGGTGTGTTCTCGAGGGGAAGCCACTCTCTCTCAGCCTTCCACGTCCAGTATGGTGACAATGGAGGTCTTCCTTACAAGGCTGTTTTAAGGGTTGCAACATAATGTATGTGGAGCATTTTGAAGTGCTATAGAAACGCTAAGTAAAGAGTCAAGTGTAGTGGTTAGGAGCACGGACCCTAAACTGGGAGAACTGGGTTTGGTTATTCACTCCTCCACGTGAAGCCTGCTTGGTGACCTTGGGTCAGTCACAGTTCTCTCAGAGCTGTTCTCTCAAGAGCAGCTCTCTCAGAGCTCTCTCAGCCCCACCTACCTCACAGGCAGTGTTCCCTCCAAGCTGATTTAGTGTGAGCTAGCTCACAGTTTTTTTCCTCCGGCTCACACATTTTTGTCTTTGCTCAGGAAGGAGGGCTCCAGAGAAAACTAATTTATGTAGTAGCCAAAGTGCTCGCTCACAACTTTAATGCTAGTAGCTCACAAAGTAGAATTTTTGCTCACAAGACTCCACAGCTTAGAGAGAGCATTGCTCACAGGGTGTCGTGGGGAGGGGAAGGAGATTGTAAGCTGCTCTGAGACTCCAAGTGAAGGGCGGGGGATATAAATCCAATCTCTTCCTCCTCCTCCTCCTCCTCCTCCTCTTCTTCTTGCTGCTTGTGGATGGCTGCATTTTTATTTTTTTTGCTTTTTGTGGCCGGAAAAAGGTCATCTGAGTAATGGGCAGTAAGCACACCTGTTTGATCTCCATCACAAAAATCATTCAGATGGAACTGAGAATGGCCTGCAGATTTTTTCTCGCTCTCCTCTGCTTGCAGTGAATGGTTCAGAAGACATGTTCGCAAGGTGCATAGATCACCACACATACTGTTGACACAGCTCCTAATCAAAGGCTTTATCAGTGATTTGTAAAGGGCAGCATCTCAAGGACTCTTTCCAAAGTTAACACACAGGTTACCTGTGCTTGGAAGGGGGTCGCTTGGGAGTTCGGGGGTGTGGATTTAGTAAAATATCAAAAAGAGATGAGAGTGGGAGTCTGAACCTCTTTCGACTTATTGGTGCTGTTAATACCTATGCTATGCTCTGTAGCTGTAGGGAAGACATTGCGCTGAATGTAATCAGATGTTTTGATGTATTGAAAAGGATTCGTGGCCCACAGCTTCCTGCTTGCTGCCTTCTTACACTTTTAAGCTGGTTTAAATAATTCGTTGTGAAAAAACTTTCTCCCCATGTTTTAGCTGAGAAACGTAACAACAGTTCTTGTGGTTCCCCCTAGAGATACCTCTTGAATAGCTTTCTTTATATCACTCCCCTTGCAGATTTAGAGATATTTTTTTTTTCTGTGTCAGTTAATCTAGATACAGCTCTGCTTCCAGGAGAAGCCAGGTTAAATATTTGGAGACGAATTTTCTTATGCTTCTTGACTGCACAAAAGTTCAGTGTTTTGCACCTCGGTGACCTATAAGTTGCTGCCATCTGGCCCGTTGACAAGAAATTTCTGACGGCCATCAATGCATCGCTAGTCGAGGGCTAGAGAAAGAGCCACAGAGATTTCCAGCTAGTGAAGAGCTTCACAGGAAGTCATGGTTAATAATCTTGCAATACTTAGAGGTTAATGAATAGGTGTAGTTGGCACTACCCGTTTCCAGGTTAGAATGAATGTAGCTTTCCACGCTCAAGCGGGCGACATTCCAAAAATATCAACTGTCAGGCCTGCCGCTGATAGCTCTGAACCACAAAGGCCCAACAACAGGAACGGCGTCTCTCCTGCCTCGCTGCATTATGTGCTTCTGCCTCACTTCCCTACTGGCTCTGGATCTGAAATGCTATTGGTTGTTGCAGCTGGCAGAAGGCAGTAAAGCCTGTCCAAGAGAAACCACTTTGCACTGCAGGAGAGTTTTGTTAACTGTCCCAGTGACTCAGGTCTGGTGCTGGATAAAGCTGCTGCATTCTCTTCTCCCACCTGGCTTCCCTTCTGATGGCCAAACAGAACTGGTTGCTACGTTTGGCCGCTTGCAGTCAGAGACAAGAGAGGGCAGGCGGCCAGCAGGGTTGGGGCAGGATATGCCGTTCTTAAAGCATTGCTGCTGTGGTTTATGACACTTGCGCTGCTCTAGCTGGGTCTTGTTCACAGCATCGTGCCGTTTGTCTGGCGCATGCGTCTCCTTTGAGGATATGGATGCAAGACTCAGGATTAGCTCATTCAAGTGCCAGCAGTGTTCCACTGGTACTTACTTCTGTGTTATAAGTACAGTAACTTGATACCGAAGGAGATCTATACACATTAATTCTCAAGGTGTATATTGAAATTAGCAGTCCCTCGAAACTAGGGGCCACATACCACTTTTAAAGAGGTACAGATTTCTCTTCCTTAGTACAATTTGTATGTAAAAGAAACTGTGTGTGGCAGAATTTGGGGTCACGCTATGACTTGATGCACTTCAAAAAGGCTGTGCAGTACAGTTGACCGTGTTCCCCCGGCGTACTGAAATTCAGCATTTTTACCTGACCCAGAGCAATGCAGACAACAAATATTTCAGGGTGTGCAGAATAAAGTCTGAGTCCAGTGGCACCTTTGAAGAGCAGCAAAGTTTTATTCTGGGTATAAGCTTTCATGTGCATGCACATGAACGCTTATACGGAGAATAAAACTTTGCTGGTCTTAAAGGTGCCACTGGACTCGGACTTTGTTCTGCTTCAGACCAGCACAGCAACCCACCTAAATTGAGAGTGTGCAGGTCACCCACTATTTGAAAGTCTCCCCCCCCCCAAAGCAGGCACTTGGGGGGGGGACTTGCTTTCACTGTAGGATTTGCCCTTTATACCTTTACTTCTGAAAGCACCTTTACCCTCTTCTTGATGATTAGTCCGAATACCTTCAAAGTGCAATACTGTGGGAGTCAAATGATATGGCCTGAAGTTTGTCCAACTGAGAAACTCAGGTCGCATCAACTGTGAGGGCTGACTTCTTTTGTATTCTTGGTTTTTTCAGAGCGCCCTAATCAAGTCTAAAAGAGAAACAAAAACCAAATGTGTATATATGCTGCCATCGTGGTGGCGAAGGAAGCCAGCACGCTGCAAATTTTGTACCCAACGCAGTGTTGTATTCAGCATGACCTTCTGTTGAAAGGATAGTGGTGACGCGAGGAGGTTAAAGATTGAGTACATTTGGTAATGGATTACTAGATCTCCTGAAGTCAAATGGCTTGAGTTTTGCATTAGCTGTGTCTTGCCAAATGACAATAAGGAATTCTGGTGCTTATGAGATGACAGTAACATCGGGGGGAGGGGGGTTGTTTTTTTTAAAAAAATCATTGCTTCCTGTTTAACTGTACCTTGTATATCAGTAAGTAACTAGCAAGACAAGTTATGCATGTACTTTCAAAAGTTTGTCAGCAAGCAGTTGGAAATCTTTTATTATACAAACACATTTTAAAGTGGGACTGATGAGATGTTGGAGGAAGAGGGTGATCAGATTACTGACCACTAAGGACCCGCACCCCCCCCCCAAAGTAATACAACTGGCTTTCCTCTTAATGCTTTAACTACGCAAACGGTGGAGGAATGAGCCTTGGCAGAGCGTCCCCATTAAATGTACTGGAGGAGGGGAGCACATCCCATTTAAAGATACATTATAGAAGTGGATCAACTGTGGATAGTTCATTGCTGTTGTATATATAGGTAAAGGTTTCCCTTGCTCGAACGCCAGTCGAATCTGACTCTAGGGGGCGGTGCTCATCTCTGTTTCCAAGCGGAAGGGCCAGCACTGTCCAAAGACGTTTCCTTGGTCATGTGGCTGGCGTGCCTAAACGCTGAGGCGCACGGAACACTGTTACCTTCCCACCGAAGCGGTACCTGTTTATCTACTTGCAGTTTCTTGCTTTCGAACTGCTAGTTTGGCAGGAGCTGGGG